ACATACCTGTTTATCTGCTCAATAAAGAAAAATGTTCACTATGAATCTGCTAATTTTTGCAAGAAGCAGACAACTGACATTATGAAACAATCTCACTCTGTTTCTTTCTCTCCTCCTTCTCTGTCTTCCTTTCATCCTTCTCTTCTTTCTCCCTTTCTCTCATATCTATATCATCCATCCATCTATGTATGTATGTATGTATGTATGTATGTATGTATGTATCATCTACCAATCATCTATCATCATCATCTATCATCTATCAATCCTCTATCATCATCTATCATCTATCAATTATCTATCATCTAGCTATTAATCATCTATCAGTCACCTATCAATCATGCAACTGTCATATATGTATTCATCTACCTATTGATCTATTAATTTATAATCTCTCTATCATCCATCTATCATCTGACCAATCTATTACCTAAAAATCAATCAATCTGTCATCTATCTATCTACCCATCTATCCATCCATCCATCTATCTATCTATCTATCTATCTATCTATCTATCTATCTATCATCTATCTTTCTGTTTGTCTGTCTAGCTATCATATATCTATCTATCCATCTATCTATCATCTCTCTATTGTCTATCTGTCATCTTCCTACCATCTGTCCATTCTTTATATAAACTACAATTTATGCTTGAAATTAGGTAACCAACATCAGTATTTCACGTATTTCAGCTGCATCTTCTACATTCCTGATATTCTTTTGAGATAATGCTAATAATGAAAGAGTTATTCCAAATCTGAAATTTAGTGCTAACAAAGATACATAAATGAATTTTCCAACACGCAAATTGAAAACAAAGGAAAATCAGTGATCTTCCTTCTCCGCGTTTATAGGGGAAGTAGGGTAGCCTTCCAACGGGGATAAATGGCACCTGTCATTTACGGGGAAACAGCATCTTCAAGCCTAATCTTCAGTTCTCATCAGTACAGTAACACATGAAGGAACTTGAATGCTCAGGGAAAATATTTGATCGCAGAAGAGAAAATATTAAAGGAAAGCATCCACACAACACTGTCAATTATCTGGTGCACACCTGCACCTGCTGCACAGTGTTCATGAATCATAAACTCTGGTGTCGTCTTTGGGGCAAAAGTACATCCTACTGTATAAGGAATATTTATCAAACAAAAAGGGAGAAAATGAGAGAGGAGAGCAAGAACCCAAAACTTCTAGAGCATTTCAAATGTCAGAAAAACAAATTAGCACCTCTGATGGGCTCTGAGCTGCAGAGGGGCATGTGTAGGACAGCCTGCATTTAATTCAAGCTGTTATGGGAAGAATCAATTTTGTAGTGAGGTCAAGGCAGCAGGACGTTTTTCCTCAAGACTAAAAATAATACTGCCTCCAGGCATGTGGGCTAAATTCCACAGCATTTTGAAACTATTGTTAAAGAATTTAAATGTGAATAAAGATGAATGGAAAACACGCTGCCGGCCTACATAGCAAATCTGGAGGGAAGCAAATCCTACCCCACCTAACCATGATCAGTGAGAAACAGAGGTCTGAGGGCAGTTTTCCTCTCTGGAATGCCATCCCTGCAGAAGTCATCAAATTAATATTCACACAAAGGGGAAACCACAAGCTTCCCGAACACCTTTAGGTGGAATGAAAGAATATACTGAAAAATGTATGTGGGTCTAGAAACAAGGATCATTGAAATCCCTAGATTTTAGGTAAAACAGAATTTCCTGAAGCAAATTCCCTACTACCCCAGGCTTTTCCTTTTCTTTTCATGTTGTGTGGCATCACCACATACGAAGAAAGGGTAAGGACAGAGAGCTGCAGGCAGGCACCATCATGCCTCTTTTTTTAAAATTTTATTTTATAATTTAATTTAATTTTACATATCAGCCACAGATTCACTTGTTCTCCCCACTCCCGCCTACCCCCCCCCCCCCCCGCCTTCCCCCCAGCCAACCTCCCATTTCCATCTCCTTCAGGGCAAAGACTCCTCTGAGGATTGAGTTCAACTTGGTAGATTCAGTCCAGGCAGGTCCAGTCTCCTCCTCCCAGGCTGAGCCAAGTGTCCCTGTATAAGCCCCAGGTTGCAAACAGACTACTGGCAATGGTCGAGAGACAGCCCGAACTGACCTACTCTGGTGATAGGATGGCCAAACACCCTAATTGTCATGCTAGAAATCTCATCCAATGACTGAGGGAACTGGATGCAGAGATCCATGGCCAAGCCCCAGGTGGAACTCCAGGAGTCCATCATGTCTCTTATTGCAAGGCTTTGGAGGAATAATTTGATGGGTGCTTTTCAACTTTGAGGTCATGAGTTTAAACTGTGTCTTAGTGGATTATGAACAAGAGAAACCCTTGATGGTGACACCCTTGTCCCTTCTTATCCAGTCTGCCACCACCATTGTGTTCTTTCTTTTGCTTCTTTCAACAACACAAAGGGGAACTGAAATGTCATTGCAAGAGTTTTTTTTTTTTTTTTCCCCAGCCTTTGTGCCAAAGAAATGTGAGCTATGAGAAAGGCAAACGTGATTCATCTTGAATGTTCAGTTAGTGTTATTCTCCTATAGTAAGGCTCCCATTCTTCCTGAGATTAATTGACATAAAAAACAGGATGCCTTATAAGCAAAAGTTATGGCTTATCTCATACAAGTTATATTATAAAGGGGAACATTGTTAGGGAAGACTGAATTGTAAACCATGGATAATTTCTTGACTTGAGTCTTAAAAAAATTAAGATTTATTGTGTTTTCTATTTCTTTTGATAAATAATTTCTCATAGATGTAATTTTTCTCATTATTTCATTTCAATAAATGTGAATTAATATTTTATTTCCCACTCTATATCTTTATAATAGTATGGTTAGGTATTTTGTCTAGCTGAAGAAACACTGTATTTTCTTTGATCCGCCTATTAGTATTCTTGACATTTATTATTATTACTGATACTCCTACTTGCATGTAACTTTGCTGCCCAAACATTCTATTAATGATTAAATAATAAAAAGGGAAACATCAAGTAACCTGGAGAAAAACAGTAAAATAAATATTAAAGGAAAACCCCAGAAGTGCTTGGGAATTTCAACGAAATTCTGGCATCTGGGTATCCACAGGATGACACTGTCAAAGCAAGTTTGGAGGTCAGAGGCCATAAGAACATAACAACTTTGAGGAAAACATAACTATGTCCTATGTCACTGTAGTCAAGGGCAAAAGTTGAGTCTGGGATTTTCCTCAACTTAATAAATTATTATTATAATAAATATCTCTTCATGTAAAGTGCAGCTTCCTGAATACTTATATCAGAAACCGGTCCATTTCCAAGCAACACCAGGAAAGATAATGTCTGTCCTATGAACAGGTAAAGTAATATCTTATGATTAATTTTGATCATTTAAGGAAAATTATTAATATTTGTGGGCATTAAAAATCAGTGATGTCTATTATGTCATTTTCAACACAACATATAAACATACACACATACATACATGCAGAGATACACAAACACACACACAGACACATGTTGACATATGACACTCATACACACATGGACACATGCACACAAACATAGACACATAAACACACACATGCACACACATACACAGACACACAGACACACAGATACACAGACACACACACACACACACACACACACACACACACACACACATGCAGATACACTAGCACAGATACACACACACCTAACTATACTTTGCTCATACTGACCTTTTCTTTACTCTTCACTAAACAGCACATTCTACTGTGAGGTCACATATAGTTAGAGATGTAGGAAGATATATTTACATCTGGTTTGCATATGAGAGATAAAGTGATACTTCACCTTTTTTCCTTCGCTTGAACCCCCTTCTTTATACAGCACTTTCTCCTCATATAGTCCTTTCTCCGATACCATTTTCCTAATTGTTTAAATCCCAGAGACAATTATGGACATCATATGCAAAATGAGTTGGAGCTACATATTCAGTCAAAGGTATATCTGAAGTGTTTCAGTATGCTTTGGTCAGTGACATGTAAATATGAAAACCAGGCTATTCTTTTATAAGAACCTCCTATGCCAGGAACCTTGAGCTGTAAATAGAAATATCATCTCAAAGTATCCTTTTCATATAAATGAATACACTGAAACACAGTCATTAAAACATATCTATAGCCATAGGGTAAGTGAAGTTTGCCTCAGCCTCTGAATACCACCATCAACCTGAGTATAGGATTGCTCCCCCTGGTATGACACTGTAGCCCAAATAAACCCAGCTGGGGAAGCTGGGACAATGGTTGGCTGTACTCTTCTGCTGTGGAATGTCATTCTGTATGCTGTGAATGTGTGTTGCTCTGAATGGTTGATAAATAAAATGCTGATTGGCCAGAAGCCAGGCAGGAAATATAGGCAGGGGGAGCAGACAAGAAGAATTCTGGGAAGAAGAAGGGCTGAGTCAGGAGTCACCAGCCAGACAAAGAGGAAGCAAGATGACGAGGCAGAACTGAGAAAAGGTACCAAGACATGTGGCTAAACATAAATAAGAATTATGGGTTAATTTAAGTGTAAGAGCTAGTCAGTAATAAGCCTGAGCTAATGGCCAAGCAGCTATAAATAATATTAAGTCTCAGGGTGATTATTTTATAAGCAGTTGTGGACCACAGAGCTGGGCAGGACACTGAAAAATTTCCAACTACACTCTTCAGTTGCAAAGCATAAAATATTCAAGCACGCATTGCCTATCCCGTCATTTCCTCCCAGGATCAGTGCAACCAATCCCTGCCAGCCTGTGTTAGGTTGTCAATTGTGCAATCTATGGAAGATATCTGCTGTGAAAATGCCCCCCTCTCTACATCCACATGCCACTTGTCTCTGTCCCTTCCTCCCCAGAGAGAAATGTCATTCACTAGAACACAAGCAAGTGTGCAAGTGCTTCTACCCAGCACCATATAAACTAAAAGTTATCACATGGCGTCTTTGGGCACATTACACACACAGACACACATAGTCATATCCTAGGCACACCTGTAGATTTAACAAAACAGCACCAATCCTCATGGCTTCACTGACTTCCAGACTGTACATCAGCTGTGGGAAGCGGGGAGGGCTCTGGTTGTTGGGAGGGAGCACCTCGATGTACACAGTGCAGATGGAGTGCCTGCGAGAGAGAAGGGAACAGGGTGTTTAATGGTCCACACTACTCTGAAACTTAGAATGCATGTTTTATTTGTTTGCTGGGTTTACAGGACAAGAAAATTTCAACTTTTATAGAAAGCAGTAAAATCATGAAAGAATAAAACAGTAGAAGTTACCACCAAAATATAATGCCTTTGTGAAATTAGCTTAGTAAAAGAAAAAATACCGCCTCCAGTACCTGTTCCTACTATTTGGATGAATAGTGTAAATTAAAAAGCAGTGGCTGCAGAGGAGAGCTAATAAATTAACTTGCCTCAACTGATGATCCTATTTTTAATCTTATTTTTAGTAGTGAAGAAAAGTAAACAAACAAACAAAGTCTTTGTATAAACACTTGGTAATAAAACTTGTTTTCCAAGTTCTCTTCCAATTAAATCAGGTGAAGGAGTATTGATTAATTCAACACATAGCTACCCAAATGAACACACACACACATACACACACACAAACAGAGAGAGAGAGCACACATAAACAAGGGGTTGTGTTGTGTTTTATTAGCTCTGTATCTAACATCAATCACTGTGAATAATGTGAATATTTTTTTTTGGTTGAATGTCAAAATCATAAAGTAATCCTAGGGTAAGTTCATGGTAATAAACCTGGAAATGTTTTAAAATTTTGAAAATAAAATGAAAAGCTGAAAATTACCTTTAGTTAAAGCCTATAATGAGGGGAAATTTTCATGAAGGAAATAAAGTCACTTTATTATCATAAGTAAAATTTTTACCATTTTCACATCCATTCTTTCAGCATCTTCTAACACTGGAATTTTAGACAATGAAATTGAAGAGAGCTATAGGGTTTTATAAAGAGAAACACAGACAAAATAGATAAATGGAACACATAAATTTACAGATCTGGTCCTTTACCATGAAATTCATACAGTACTCCATAGGAATAGTCTCTGCTTCCTAAAATGTAGGCTTTATGAACTATTTTTTAATTGTATTTTTAAATTTAAAACATGTCAGTGGCAATTCCTGTTTAGGGGCTAGACTTTTCTTAAAATAGTAAAAAAAAAAAAAAAAACCCTTTTTATAATGTATTCCAATGACATATTTTTCTAGAAGTAACTAATCTAGTTTTCTTTTTAAATGTTTTAAGTGCAGACCACAAGCGTTGAGATCTGGGTGGCAGCTTGTCCATCCATAACACGCATGGGTGCAAGTTGCCAAGTTCTCTGCAGACAGATCACACACACTGTTAAGCATTTCTATTAAACTGGGGTCACTTCAAGACATTTATTACTTCTATTCATTGCAATGCTATTCCAAAGTAAACTCATTTTAAGTTAAAATACATCAGAGTTTTGGAACCAGTTAAAATGTCTGAATTCATTATCTCTGGTTTATATTTCGTGAGAGTGCCCTCCCAAAAATTAGTAATTTTTTTTCCTATTGATATATATTCAGATGGAGATATAGATGCCATGGTGAAGTCATTAAAAAGTTAATAGCTAAAATTTAAGGCTTAAAATAAAGGCTTAATTAAAATGAGTTAAAGCAGGGGTTCTCAACCTGTGGTTCATGACCCCTTTGACAAGCCTCTAAATCCAAAAATATTTACATTATGATTCATAAGAGTAGCAAAATTACAGTTATGAAGTTGCAATGGAAATAATTTTATGGTTGGGGTCACCACAACATGCAGAACTGTATTAAAGGGTCACAGCATTAGGAAGGATGAGTTAAAGTAATAATAAGTCACTGTTTATAAGCTTGTAAGTGGCCGGGCGGTGGTGGCGCACGCCTTTAATCCCAGCACTCGGGAGGCAGAGCCAGGAGGATCTCTGTGAGTTCGAGGCCAGCCTGGTCTCCAAAGCGAGTTCCAGGAAAGGCGCAAAGCTACACAGAGAAACCCTGTCTCGAAAAACCAAAAAAAAAAAAAAAAAAAAAAAAAAAAAAAAAAAAAAAAATAAGCTTGTAAGTGTTCCTACGAAGGCCAAATGACAGAAAGTTACAGTTTTTCTTTGTTGTTGTTTGTTCATTTTTTTTATTTGTTTGTTTTGTTTTATTGTTTTTGTTTTCCAGACAGGGGTTTCTCTGTGTAGCCCTGGTTGTCCTGGGCTGGAATTGGCTCTGTAGACCAGGCTGGCCTTGAACACAGAGATCTGCCTGCCTCTGCCTCCTGAGTGCAGGGATTAAGGGTGGGTGCCACCACCACCACCATCTGGCTTTTATTTAATTTATTTTTTTTAATACTAGTTTTAATGTTAATGAGTTCTATTTCTGTGGTGAGAATGGGGGGATTTTCATCCTCAGCTGGGCTAATACCTCTCACAACAGGCTTGGCAGTACTCACAGATGAGTCTCAGAAACTGGGTGCTATACTCATTTGTTTTTGGGAACAAGTCTGACTACTTACCCCAGGCTAGCCTAGAACTTTCATCTACATTGGTCTTGAGTTAACTCGATCCCATCTCTATCTCTGGCGTGTTGGGATTATGTTCATAAACCACCATCCCCAGACCAATTGTCAGATGCTATAGCCAGATAATGCTTTATTGGGCTGTTGCTGCCCCTCCCACTTTGTGATCTTGGGCTGAGACAGAGGACCACTCTGGTCCAGGGTGACTGCCTCTTTCATTTTCTCTTCCCTCTTTCTTTGTCTCATAATTCAGGGGGTTGGATTGCTAGTCACGCTTCCAACACCTTCTCGGGATTTATCTCTCAGACTTGTTTGGGGAAGATCATATTTCAGTCGCACCTTTTTCATCCTTCCTATCTGGGCACTCTGTTGTGGCGGATTTAATAAGTACCAGTCTTTTTGAGGGTTACTGCTTTATAAAATGAGATCTCCTCTTTATCCCTGATGTCAGCATAGTGTCATAGCAAGCATCCCTAAAATTGAATGCCTATAGCATTAACAATAAAATGATGACTTAAGGCTGTAATAAACAGCAATCATTCAACAGCATAGTTTAAGCACATAGTAAAGCAGGGCAGTCACTAGGTAAATAATAACATTTTATGTGAGTATTTCATATTTACATTTATAGCCAGTCCTAAATGCATAAAACCAAGCTTCTTTCTATCCATATTTTATTTTTGTAATAGGGCATGTATGATGCAAATAAGTTTCCATTTCTAAAAATGAAAATCATTGAGGTCTTATTATTCTTATTTTGTTGAAAAAAGGTTCAAAGCAGAACAAAAGAGGTGATGAATTTCTAAGACAGTTTTATGACTCAAAATGTCACACTGAATCACCTAATTTGAGTAGCTTGGTTTATAATTTTAAATAATCACAAAGATTAAGTGACTGAATTAAAGTTACCAAGCTCATTAACAACTGCAGATAAAATAAAAAGGCTTCTGAACTCTTTAGGTCTCATAAGAACACATTTTAAGAAGTATCCTGGAGAGGTTTTCTTTATTTATCTCATGGTTGTGATAGTAAAGGCCCTTGCTTTGTTACAAACGATGGTGTCTTATTCCAAATCCTCAAGTATTTGAAGTCTTAGACTTGGACTATGAAATTAGAATATTTAATTAGTTATGCCATAACTGAAACTCCATGATGAAGTGTATTTCTTTATTATAAGGGGAAAATAAAATATGAATGAAGAAGAGCCAAGAAGACGGACCTAATGCACTTTGACTTTGGAAACGTCATAATTTAAAAAGATAAAATAGCCTAATTTTGTATCACTATGATAATAATCAGTATGATTGTGCTTATGCAGTTACATATGACTACTTGTTTCTATGACAAAGTTATTTATATTAGTTTCTCTGTAAGACTTAAAACAGAGAAATCACAGTGGGTTTTCCTTTCTCCCCTCCCCATTAATAACCTGCTACAAAATCTGTATTTATAGCTTATGGATTCCATTTGACTATCTTGGCAGAAAATGCAGACATCTACAGAAGCAGAAACTTCATATTTCAGTCCAACACAAGAGAACACTTATCAGAGTGCTGTGGGATGCTCTGTATGCTGTGAATGTGTTGCTCTGATTGACTGATAAATAAAATGCTATTGGCTGGTAGCCAGGCAGGAAGTATAGTATAGGTGGGACAAGCAGAGAGGAGAATTCTGGGGAGTGGAAGGCTGAGTCAGGAGATGCTGCCAGCTGTCGCTGCCATGAGAAGTAAGATGTAAAGTACTGGTAAGCCACAAGCCATGTGGTAAGGTATAGATGAATAGAAATGGATTAATTTAAGATATAAGAACTGGATAGCAAGAAGCCATTAGGCCAAACATTTTAAATAACATAAGTGTCTGTGTGTTTATTTGGGTCTGAGTGGCTGCGGGCCTGGGCAGGACTGGAGATAACTCCAGCAACATCAGAAGAAGATGGGGGCAGAGGTTTAGATGCACAACCTCTTCACATAGGTAACACACAAGGACTCACAGACAAGAGGGAGCATTTGTGTAACTTCAGAAAAGAATAAAGATGAAAAGGGTAAGATTTGCACAACCAGAGGGAAGGATTAGGCAAAGAACAGAAGGAGCTATTGAAACTGGAGTATACAATCATTCCCTTCCATCAAGTTTGAATTATCTTGACAGTGGGATAGTCAATACATTCGAAGCAGGGCACTGATAGGATTAAATGTTCCAAGTCTCCTTCCTGTTTCCTCCCTGACATTTCCCACAATGCCTGCACAGACCTTTATAGCCAGTGCAAGACCAGTATCCCACCAGACCTTTCTTTACCTTTATTTCCAGGGTTTCCCCCACAGCATGAGCAATTTTAGGAATCCAATATATTTTTCTCAAAACAGATAGATGGCCTTCTGTTATGTCTTTATCACCATGTACAATTATTTTAAAGGGCATATATTCACAATGGAAAATTTTCTATTGGAGAACACTACTTAGTCATAGGTTAATTAAGTACTAAGTTGGATTCCATGACAAAAAAAATAAGATTATATGAGGATGCCATATCATGTGTCAATCATTTTATTGTCATTGAATGAGGAGCTGTTGGGATCAGTACTGTTTCCATACCAGATAGTAGTAATAATTCATTCCAGGATTAAAGAACATTCACTCAACTTAATTGAACGAACTTAATATTAACTCACAGACACCACTAGAGTAAGTGATACTTTAATTTTAGGACATTTTTAACCCTTTAACTTCTGTCTGCATGTTTCCTCTCATCAAAGCCCCATACAAAACAAAACAAAACAAAAAATGAAAAGAAAAGAAAAGGAAAGAAAAGAAAAAAAAACCCTAAGATTCCAGCGACGGATTTCTACTGCTGTCACTCTGAACCTCTGGACACTTCACTAGGACAGGAGTAACAGAAGCCTGAAGTCATTTTATACTGGGTCTGAGTCTTAATACCATCTGAATGTACAAACTCAAGCTGCCAAACTGAAAAAAAAATAATACAGAGAATGCCCCCAATTCTGATTGTTGCTGCCAAAGTTTTAAAGGCTGTTACTTATGGACATGTATATTATTCCATTGTTGCTGGTGGTATCAATCCATAGCTGTCTATACTTTTATGTTGGTAACTTTCAAATGTCATCCTCCTTCCAAAGGAAACATTGAAAGCAAAGCCTCCCAACTCCTGAGCTCACTCACTAACTCAATTTGAAGACTTAATTTCCCTGCAGAAAACAGTGAATATTATCCGGCAACAAACATTACATTATCCCTGCAGGTAGGAAGGGGGTGTGTAGATTTTATTCTCTGCCGGCCCCAAGTGGTGTCTGAAGAGTGTGTTGGTGATACAGTGGTGGGCATGACTGCCTTCCACATGTGATGTCTGATGACATAGTATAAGGCAATCTTTTAGCATCCAACCCATTTAAAAAAAATAAAAAGAAAGCTGATGTCACCAAGAGGACAGACACTCCCCTCTGAGGATGATGCTTTGAATGCCATTTTACTTGAGTAAAATCCTTTTACTGAACTAGCTTGTTGAAGCAGAGTTGAGCAATCTGCACACAGGAAAAAAACAAGTTGAGTATTCTCTGCTATTACTCATTAAGTGTAGCAGTAACCCCACCCTGAGCTTTGTTCTCTGTGTTTTCAGTCTTTCATGGTCCACTGTGGTCCCAAACCATTCAAAGAAAAAAATTGGAATAAAGAATTGCTAAGTTTTAAATTGCATATCATTCTGACCAGCACAATGAAGTCTGCCTCTTCCTTCTCTTTTCTGCCTTGGCTGTCAATCAGACACTCTCCCTAAAACCCTGCTGCCTATATGATGCCTCCTCTCATTCATATAACAGCTTTCTGTTGGTGGGACCTTGTTTCAAGTAGCCTTTCTTTTATTTAATAAAGACCCCAAAGTGTAAGTGTGTGATGCTGGCAATGGCGGACTATTATGTCACTACAATAATTGGATTTCATCATTACTATTACTGTGTTACTGCTCCTCATTTATAAAGTATATTATAAATATATGAATACAGAAAGAAAATGGCATGGATACATACAAAGTCAGCACATCAATAATTCCCTTTGTGAGTGATGTCCTGGTTGCTCACTGGAGGTGAGCCCATTACAAAGAAGGGGGCAGAACCACAATCCACGGGGTGATTTAAAACCCTTACATCATAGTAACTATAATATATTGACACATGTAAATCAGGCCAGATCTATTCAGCACGATAATGTCTTCAACTAATAAAATAAACTGAAGAATATTAAAGGCCTTTTATGAACTTTTAGCTGAAAATAACAAAAGGTGACTATTTTTTATAGTAGCCCCTTTCAGTATTGATAGTGTACAAATAAAATAATTTTCTAAGAACTATGGGACCTAGTAGGAGTCACCTTCTCTCTGCAGGTGGGGCGTTGTCCGAGGCCTGCACTGTAAGTGCATACGTCCGTCCCACGACCAGCTCCACTCCTGGGGCAATGCTCACCAGCCCGGTGGTCCTATTGATTATGAAGTCTCCTTGGGCGCCCACCAGAATTTCATAGGAGATCTCTCCATTAGAGCCTTCATCAGCATCTACTGCAGTCAGCTGGAATTGAAAAATCACAACACAAATCTTGTTAGGATTCAGCCTTTCGCCACTGTGTGGCTTCCCCAAGGGAACTGATTTCAAAGCTGAAGATAATATAGCGTGCATTTGGTGTGCAAATGTGTCCACTGCTTTTGCATTTTGTTGTAACACCGAGTCACTACAGGAACCAGTATTGTTGTTTTGTCCCTTGTGATCATGTTCAGAACAGTTTTTCAATATTGAAGACTGTCTTTATTCTAATTTAATAAAAGGAAAAAGGAAAGAAAGCCTTAACATAAAGTTTAAGAATTTATTCTTTATCTTACCTGCCATTTTTTACACACAAACACATATCATTGTGGTCTGAGACCAGGACAAAATGAAAGGGCAAAGTTTGTTTTATTTCCACTCTGCTTCTGTTGGCCTGTTTTCCCATCTACAGGGCTCTCCCACCCTAACCTCTTCCCACTGGCTTATGATGGACTGGTAAAGCCCATGTGGCAAAAGCCATTTTCTTTTAAGAAAAGAGAATTGCTTTCAGAGCCACAGAGACGACGGCACATAAGCACCTGTAGACCTGATGTGCACACATTCAAAATCACTTGCAGGCAACTGGTGTTTATTTATCGCCTATGAGAGGAGAATGACCATTGCTAATCCCATAAAGCAATATTAAAGCGATAGTGGTTTACTGTGTTGAACAAGGTTCCTCCACTTTTTGATAGATACAGATTTGCAAAGAGGGGAAGAAATAATCCTGGTAGGAGATGTTACTAACATCCTCTTTGTAAGCTTTCACACAATCCTATGTTCACGCAGGGTAGTATATGGAGGGAATAAGTACACGGCCTCGCTGTCCCCAGGAAGGGGAGCAGAAATTGTCTTTTGGATAAGGACAGCACATCCCTTCAACCAGTTCGCCCATGTGCCTCTTCTTTGGTCACTTTCTCTTGTGCTCTGCTAATACCTATCACTCTGAAGTCCCAGATCTTCCAAGTTCAGAGTCCTTCGGGGATGTGGTGAAGCCCGTCTGGTGCGCATTGCCGGTGAAAATGCGAATGTCGCAGATTTACCCGAGAGAGGCCATGTTAACAGATGGCTCATGTTTACTATCACCAGAAAATGCGAAGAAATTCTTCACATCCCCATTTATGACGGACTGAGGAGACACGTGGCCCATGTTCTAACTCTGATTCCATTTAATAAGGGACTGGAGAGACCGCTCCGTGGTTAGGAGCAGTTGCTATTCTTCCCGAAGACCTGGGTTCAACTCCCAGCACCCACATTATGACTAACCACCATCTGTCATTCTAGTACCTGGGGATCGGATGCATGTACCAGGCATGTAAATGATGTACATACAGCGTGAAAGGAAAACACTCACACCCATAGAAATCTGCTTTCTAACTGTGGCCTGTGTGTGTGTAGGTTAGAGGACAACTTTCGGCCGTTCGTTTCTCCATCACACGGGTTCCAGGATGAAATCCAGGCTGTCAGGTTTGACAGGAGACGCCTTTACTCACTGATCCATCCGTCTTGCCGGTCCTCTAACTATATTTTTAATTATTCACTGCACTTGGAGAGGCCGTGGGCACAGAAATAGCAGCAACAAAAATAGAGAAGACCAAAGGAAGTTGAGAGACTGGCATTAAGGATGCTACTTCCAGAGATTGGTCTTTTAGGTAGACAGATGTGGCTGCCACAGGGAAGACATTTCCTGAAATGATTCTGGGACTTACGTAGGCACGACAGACCATACACCTAAAAGCAAAGGAGAAGGGAGCTATTTGGAGAAACAGCCAAATGAATGATGTGTATTTGGGGAGAACTGGTCCTGTCATACGAAGTCATGATCTTTGGTGTGAGGATAAAATTAGAACATTAGAGGGTGGGGAATGAGGAAGAGATATCAGTTTTGATTATAGTAAATCACTTACACAAAATGTCTTAGGAAATCTTAATTAAAACTTAGCTCAAAGTGGATTCAATATTAACATTTTTCTTGGGAATTAAATTGGCTAAAGAGATTTAGTGATAAATGGCAGTGCATCCATTTATGAAGAGGAGCTGGGAGTGTGCTTTGGGGACACAGGTATTATAGATGGTCTTATTTAACATTTTTATAAATGAGGTTGGAAGGGAGGCAGGGATAGATGATAATTAAATTGAGGAAGGCACCCATGTGGGAGGTGCTATAAATATCAAACAGGGCTACAGAACACAAGTGTTAAGAACTCACCTAAATCTGCCGTCAGTTTACCAGAGATGAGCTCACCTATTCTGCTAATTCTGCAACTAACCCCTCAGAAACTATCAGCCTGTAGAAAGTTTAACAAGTGAATGGAAGTGATGAGAGTATGTTTAAGAGACTTAAACAGTTTCAAACAATCTTGATTGTCTCATTCTCTTAGTTTTGCCGTAAGAATTAACATCATTTTTGCACATTAGCAAACATTTCTTTTGAAGAAATTATTATCAGTAGTCTAGGATTAAATTAGGTTCATTTCCCCGGTAGGATTAGTATTGAACTACCCCTCTGAGTACCCAATCAATACCAACACTTTCCTGTATAAAACTGAAGACTCAACACATTTCTTTTAAATTCTCAGTGAAGGTTTGCTGTGGATGGCTCAGCTGTAGTCTACATTGTGGGGTTGGATAGAAGTACCAATGACATCTTGACAGCTGAAGTGCTCAGTGCCATTACAATACAGTGACTTGTGTCCAAAGTCATTAGGTGAGAGTGTAGGAAACACATGTTCTATTACGGGATGGGGAGAACTACCTCATAAATTAAAAGTAGATGTGGAAATGACTGACTATAGAAGACGCTAGTGTAACATCTCTAATGAAATGAAAACGAATCCTGACTTTTTAATGCTTTAAATGTTTTTAATAACTAAATGATGAATACTGAGCTATTTATTTCTTTTCCATATTATATTACAGTCCTTTCCATGAAGTTTAAGCATACCCTCCCATAATTTTGTTCTGCTATTTTTAAAATGTATGTATTCTAGAGGTCCCAGCCTGATTTGATCATTGATGATATGCCTTCCTGGGCATCCTGGGTTAGCTATAATGAGAGATTCTGTTTTTCATTGAATAGTTTATCAATTCTCAATCCATATGTGTGTGATGTTGACACTCGGCTCCTATAAGGCACAGTACTGAGGCTGAACCCTGGAATTGTGGATATTTCTGTTGGTCCTGTCTACCCTGAGCTGAGACCAACTTCCACACAGATAATGCAGGTTCAAGAATTAAAGCAAGTGTCATAGATACTGATGGCCTCATATACAGTTGTGTCCAACGTTGAATGATACTGAAATTTCTTGATACATGAATCAAAACTCTATCTTCAAAAAAGCTAATTGAAATTGAAAGTATGTCACTTTATGAATAATAATTTTAAATCATATATGAAGAGAGTTTTGTAACTGGTTATGAGGCACACTATCATGAGGAATAAGTTAGTCATATGTACTCTTCTTCTTGGTTTGTGCTGGGCACATACCTCTCTCCCCATAATGCATATGGCATCCTTGCTCGCTAGCCTTCATGCACTGTGCATAGACATGCCTCTCCAAACAAGCATCTAGTGACTTCAGATCCCTGCCTCCATTTTACTTTCCTTATGTCCTAATGGGAGACCAGAAAAGTGAATCTGGCTTGAATTGATTTTGGGCAAATAAGACAAAACTGTATCCTCCACTGAACTTTACCTTATCCCTGTGCATAATTGGGTGTACATATGATTAAAATTATATACATCATGAGAATGAACAAGGGCAACAATACATAACTTAATATGTCAATCGAGATGGAGAACCATCCAAACTCTGCCCTTGGCAATCAGATTCCTCCTTCATCTGAATTTCAGAAGATCAAGCTCCAAACAATAATCATGGGCCTGAATCTATTTCACTTAGGCTGCCACTTGCTTCCTTGCATTATATGCTGGTCTTTCCTATAGTTTGGCTTTCAATAAAGTTTCCTTTCTATTATTTGCAAATATATATGGGCTTTTGTTTCAATTTTTTCAATAAGATGCCAAAAACTTACAGACACCCAACTGTGACCCAACAGTCCATAACAGTTATGTTCTTGGCTCATGCCATGACCTTTGTGTAGAGTGATTGTGTCCTGATATCTTGGTATGTGGTAAATGTGATCACAAAGTCATCTAACCATCTATGGTTAATTAATCATTATAATGGTCAGAGATCTTAATATGAAGACAGTAGCATTACTTTTACTGAGAAATTGTAAGATAGTGAGTGATGAAATGCAAATGGCAGACTTTTTCTCTGTATTCATGTTTATATTTTAAAATTATATTTATCTAAATTTTAAATTGAACACATTTTAAAGTGCCTTACATGTTATAATATCTGCTATTGTCCTCTTTATTATCCAAGTTGACTATTTGAACCAGATGGACAGAAAATAATAGAGCCATTTGGGTAAGATTCGGTGGCATTTAGAACAATATTTGTTCATTAATGCTCAATTATGGCTCTTCTTACAATGAAGATAAATTTACAAAATAAATTGTAGATGGATGATATCCTAAAACATGTCAACTTGAGTTCAATAATTCTGGAAAATACTCCATTATTTCATGGGAAGAGAGTTATAAAAGTATGCTACACAAGGCCACGTGATAGTGGTGTTAACAGAATTAAATTGTAAACTTGATTGAGAGAGTCATAATCTAGAGGAATCATTCACTTCAGAGTGAGTCATGAATACTGCAAAGCTCCAAGGCAATGCAGAAGGAGCTACATGAAAACCAAAATACAAAAGTTCATAAATGATGCAGGGTGCTCTTCTTGGGGAATATACTGTTGGGTGGGAAAAAAATGCAAAAAAAACCCAAACAAATAAATTCATGTTGACATTTTGTAATCTCTAAATTTTAAAAACCAACATAATAAGAGGCTAACAAGTGATAGGGTAGATACAAAGTTGCTTAGGCATAGATTAGATTCCAGACATTATCTGAAAGATGCAGA